AACCTGCAACAGTTTATACTAAACGAAAAGGAAATACAGAAAGTACATAAATAATAACTGACAGTAATAAATCCGAAATACAACTGTACCACTACTACTTTTCAGTTATAACCAATCCTTAGGAGCTTTTCAATATCTCAGTAATAGACTTTCAACAAAAACACATGCCCAGAAACATAACTAATGCAACGCGCATCCCGATCCCACCATATAAATAACATCAATATAAAAGATCCAATAATAACAGTATCAGTGTTCAACAACAACAGTATCAACATTCTCCCTTATTCCTCCTTGTTGCGGCGCGCAACCCGATCCCACCTGTCCTCTCTTTTTACTCCTTATTGCGGCGTGCAACTCGATCCCACCAGACAATTATTTTCCTCCCTTATTCCTCTGGTTGTGGCGTGCAACCTGATCCCAACATATAAATATATCAACACCAATCACAAAGAGAAAATACCAATAATTTCACAAGCTAACTCAATTTCCACATTTGTACACTTCAACTTGTATAAAGGGGTTATCATTACGATTATGAACCTCACCCATGAAGAATAAACAGCAAGACCAACCAAAGTGCACCATAAGGCACCAACAACTCAACACAAGCTAACAATATAACTAAATAGAACCATAAAACAATTAGACACTCCAAGTACGAGTACAACAATTAATATAAGGCAATTAGGCATTGAGACATTTATGGCAAATAGCAGTTAAGGCATAGAACAGTTAAACAGGTAGAAATTAAGACAAGGAATGATATAATAGGAAATGGGGAAGGGAAACAGCTAAACATGGTAATTTTGGTGGCATATAGGTACTCGCCACCACACCTATACGCCACACACATGAAATTTCACGTAGCAAATAAGTCAGGGGTTAGACCAAATACTTACCTCAAGCCAACAGGTAATTCAACACTTAACAACCGCTTTACCTCTTGATTCCACAACCAATTCACTCGTATCTAGCCATAATTAATTCAATAACATCAATAAATGTTAAATAAACCAATTCTAATGCATGAATATGAATTCTCAAATATTTTCCCCAAAAGTCAAAAATCGACCCTAGGCCCGCTTGGTCAAAACTCGAAGTTCGAACCAAAACCCAACCACCCAACCACTCATTCACCCACGAACCCAAATATGCAATTAGTTTTGAAATCGGACCTCAAATCGAGGTCCAAATCCCCAAAATTTAAAAATCCTAACTTCTACCCAAAAATACCCAATTTCCCATGAAAACCCATTGATTTTGAAATGAAATCATGTAAAAAGATGTTATAGATTGAAGAAAATAAGTTAGAAATTACTTACTAATGATTTGGAGAAGAATCTTTCTTTGGAAAATCACCCAAGAGAGTTTAGGGTTTGAAAGAATTTGAAAAATGGGTGAAATACCGTCAAAAATCTCACTTATCAGGTGCTGATGTCGCAATTGCAACCAGGGGTTCACAATTGCGAACCCTGAGAATTTATGCTACCTTCACATTTGCGAAGGAATTGTCGCATTTGCGACAGCTGGGGATTTCTGAGTGCTTCGCATTTGCGAAGAAATGCGAGCAAGGCTGGCCAGAGATTATTTCGCAATTGTGAACAGTCCCTCGCAATTTCCAAACTATCAGACTTCGCAATTGCGATCCCTGATCTCGCAATTGCGAGATCAGAGGCCAGCACCAGACCTGCAACCTGCAACGATTTTCCTAAGTCCAAATTCACTTCGTAGCCTATCCAAAACTCACATGAGCCCTCGGGCCTCCAAATCAATCATGCGCACAAGTCTAAAAACATAATATGGACTTTCTCGTATGATCAAATCATCAAAATAATATCAACAACTACAAGTTAAACCTCAAATTCATAAAATTACCCAAGAACATTGAAATTTCTATTTTCTAAACTATAGGTCTGTTTTATACCAAACCAATTCCGATTCTCACCAAATTTCACAGATTCAACTTAATTATTATTTTAAACTTGTACCGGGCTCCGGAACCAAGATACGGGCCCGATACATCAAGAAAATGCATCATTTCACTTCTAAAAGCCTTTATATTTTCCAGCAAACAATTTTCTTTAAAAATTCTTTTCTCGGTCTTGGGACCTTGAAATTCGATTCTGGACATACGCCCAAGGTCCATATTTTACTACGGACCCTACGGGACTGTCGGATCACGTGTCCAAGTCCGTTTACCAAGAATGTTGACTAAAGTCAACTTTAATTAATTTTAAGGGCCAAATTCATTATTTTTCTAAAATTCACATAAACATTTTCAGGAAATGCACCTGGACTGCGCATGCAAATCGAGGTAAGACAAGAAGAGATTTTAAGGCCTCAGAATATAATTTTGACTTCTAAAACCAGAGATGACTTTTAGGGTCATCACACTTAGTTTCTTGGAAATCTAAGAAGCAGAACACAGTTTCTAGGAGTTCAGCAGAAGCAGAATTTAGGAGTATGGCCTCCACTATTGCAGAACTTTCATGGCTGGTTGGGCTATTCAAAGAGTTGGGAGTTACAGTTCAGCTATATGTTACCGTGCGCTGTGACAGCAAAGCAGCTGTTCAAATAGCTGCCAATCATATCTTTCATGAACCACAAAACAAATTGATATTGATTGCCACTTTGTAAAGGAAAAACTGCAACAACACCTCATTCAGACTCATCACACCAACACTAAAGCACAATTGGCAGATATCCTCACCAAGGGTCTTGGAAAGGCACAACATTAGTTTTTGTTTAGCAAGCTGGGGGTTGAAAACTTGTTTTTACCCTCCAGCTTGAGGGGGAGTGTTGACATTAGTAGTGATAGTGGTGGTTAGCTTTATTAGTTGTTCATCTGTTAGTTATAACTAATTTAGACTCTGCTAGAGTTATAGTAACTAGAGTTAGCTTTAGTACTAATCACAGTTAGGTTAACTTTCACACATTATATATACACATGTACAGATACATATTATACTTGGAATAGAATATTACAATTTCTCTCTCCTCTTCTAGAATATTCCTTGAGATTCATTTCTGTAGCCGCCTTCCTCTTTAGCTAACGGTGTTCAGCTTAATCACCATGGCAAAGATCCATAAATAGCTGAATTCAACATTATGAACATGCTCTTCATGCTCCAGATTCCACGTGTGGGATCACTGAGTTTGGTGTTGTTGTGTGCTCCTCATGCTCCTCAGGGAGGCATTTTTGGAGATTCTTTTTGATAATGAGTAACCATCTTAACTAGATATGTGGTTAATGTAAGTTTCTTGCAAATCTAACCTAATCAAAAGGAGAAATTCACAATTGAAACAAATAATTATTGCATCGAAAGCAAAAACATAAAGATATACAAATTTGGAATAAAATATTTTGTATATTATGTAGAAACAAGAAGAAATACAAATTTGGAACAAATAGATTATTGTATACTATTGTGTGGCAATTAACAGTTGAAAAATACCCACTAAGAAATTAATTTTTCAGTTTTTTCACTTACACGTTTCCTAAAAGAGAGTATTCACGCTCTTTATGTCACGGAAGAGGAGGTCAAGGCTATAATCAAAGTGCTAAGTTCAGGGTGATAATCACTATCAAAATAGTTTTAGTATGCACTAAATATGTCAATTTAGAGGGGTCCGATCTACTTTACCAAAAAAAAGGCTAGATTTGAGAGTCAAATGTTGTGCCGTGTATGGTTCATATTCTCTATCCATTTCTTTTATTCGTCTGTGTTTCTTGGACTGCAGTGTTATACAGTATCAAAATGAATAGCTTCGAATGTTTTGTTGCACGTAGAGAGGACTTGTAGAGGGGAGGGTAAGGCAATTAAAACTCAAAAAAATTAGAGTTTAATTTCTATATACACAAAAAAAAAAAAAAAAAAAAAAAAAACAGTCTGATACACTAAGCTCCCGCTATTCGCGGGGTCCGGAGAAGGGCCAGACCACAAGGGTCTATTGTACGCAGCCTTACATTTCTGCAAGAGGCTGTTTCTAGGGCTCGAACCATGACCTCCTGGTCACATGACAGTAACTTTACCAGTTACGTCAAGGCTCCCCTCGCACATTTACGCCAACTTTACCAGCAGCTTTTCTATACACACAGACAGTGTAAATTTATAAAATTAAAACAAAAAAGATTGGTACGTGAAAATAGGTTTTTCCAGCAGTCTGATGAGTCAATGCTGGTTGGCTTCATAACTTTATACACTACACTTCCATCTACCACTTCTTCCTATTCTTAAATGTTAGGCGATTTCAAATCTGCTGCTTTAAAATTTACTCTCCGTACACCACCATAATAACTTTCTGTTCAGACCAAGGCATGCACAAAATAAATTCTAGAGAAGGAAACTAATTATTTTAACAGCTTGTTTGGATGGTTGTTACATGTCGTTTCATAATGTATCGTATTGTATTGTATATAGTTTGATGAATAAAATGTTTGAATAGATTGTATCGTTTGCCATCATTTCATGATGTCACGCACCGAAAATATGAAGAAGAAACTTGCAATATTACTAAGAAAAAATAAGATACGGAGTAGAATTATTATATAAAAAAGTAGGGTAAAGTAAAAAATGTGATTATCTAATAATAAAGAAGGGCAAAATGAGAGAAAAAAGCAAGGTAATAATGTTGCCACACCAAATCTGTCGTTACATAAAGTGGCACTTTTCGTCGTTACGTAACGACAGATTTAACAATACGATACAATATGATAGGCAACAACCATCCAAACAAGCTGTAGATGAGAAAATTAATTTGGAAATGCAACTGTGAAAATAATTGGTATTATTTAAAGTTCAAAGTGATTATTAGGATGCTTTTGTTAATTCAGAAAGTTGAAAGAAGTTAATATTTCTTTGTGTTATACCTAATTAATTAATGTGTTTGAATATATATTGCCTGTAATAAAGATTGTTAGAGTCAGGCACCGATCAGTTGGTGGGAGTTGGGAGAAGACAAAAACCAGTAGTATTATATTTTCCAATTGCATTTATCCACATGTACCAACTTGGATCCTTCTTTTTATACTAAGACTTTGAATTAGGTTTCTTATCAACCAAAAACCTAAAGTGTGCGACGTACAAAAAACCCTAAGCTATTTTCCTTTCTCTTTATCCTTTTGTCTTTGACTCTTCTTCTTCTTCTCTTTCTCATGGATCTCATTTCCAATTTGTTTTATGGTCTTCCTTTCTTTTATCTCCTCTTCTTGATATGGAAGATTATAGATCGAAAGAGACACCAAAATTGTTACATTTTGGACTACGAATGTCACAAGCCGACCGATGATCGAATGCTTAGCACAAAATTTTCTGGTGAAGTAATTAGAAGAAACAAACACCTTGGCTTAAATGAGTACCAATTCCTCTTGAAAGCAATTGTGAGCTCAGGTATTGGGGAGCAAACATATGCACCAAGAATGGTCTTTTATGGTCGTGAAGCTTGTCCTACATATGAAGATGGGATTTTGGAAATGGAAGAATTTTTCCATGATAGTATTGACAAGGTCTTGAAAAGAAATGGATTTTCCCCTAGTGACATCGATGTTCTCGTGGTGAATATATCCATGTTAACTTGTATGCCTTCTTTAGCTGGTCGAATAATCAATTATTACAAGATGAGAGAAGATATCAAGGTGTATAATATCACCGGGATGGGGTGCAGTGCTAGTGTCATAGCGATAAATATCGTGCAAAGTATTTTCAAGAATGAGAAGAACAAGGTTGCACTTATGGTGACATCTGAGTCCTTGAGTCCAAATTGGTACACAGGGAATAATAGATCTATGATTCTTGCTAATTGTTTGTTTAGATCAGGAGGGAGTGCAATTCTCTTGACAAACAAAGTGGCTTTGAAAAATAAGGCCATGTTCAAGTTGAAATGCCTTGTTAGAACACACCATGGTGCAAAAGACGAAGCTTATGATAGTTGCATACAAAAAGAAGATGATCAAGGTCACATAGGTTTCCACCTTGATAAAACACTACCAAAGGCCGCGACAAAGGCACTAGTCGATAATTTGAAAACAATTGCACCCTTAGTTCTTCCAGTGAGAGAGTTACTTAGATTTGCAATTGTGTCACTTGTGAGAAAAATGAATTGGGGTTCAACAAAAGGAGGAGCTAGGCCAGTGATCAATTTCAAAACAGGTGTGGATCATATTTGCCTTCATACAGGAGGAAAAGCAGTAATTGATGGAGTTGGGACAAATTTGAATCTAAGCGAATATGATTTGGAGCCAGCAAGAATGACTTTGCATAGATTTGGTAACACTTCAGCAAGTAGTCTTTGGTATGTATTGGGTTATATGGAGGCTAAAAAAAGATTAAAGAAAGGTGATAAAGTGCTTATGATTAGCTTTGGTGCAGGGTTTAAGTGTAATAGTTGTTTGTGGGAAGTGTTAAGAGATTTGGGAAATGAAAATGTTTGGAAAGATTGCATTGATAATTATCCACCAAAAACTTTAGCAAATCCTTTCTTGGAGAAATTTGGATGGCTACATAATGAAGATCCAAACACTTTTGTTGTTCCAGAGGACTATGTTATTCCTGATGACTAAAGAAAGAACAATATCCAACTTTCCTTCTCTTTAATTTTATTTTATTTTATTTTTCCATTTGCAACAAGATGTATTACTTTACAGTATTATTTTTCTCATTAGGTTTCTGGGTTGGGATTTAATCTATAGAATTGATAATTTCCTTTACTGATTTTTTTTTCGTATGTAAAACGAAAATTTGTTCTTGTTGATCGATTGGTGATTCTACCAAGACTTATCATTCTATTGTTCTTGTTAATGTTAGCATTCTTCTTTCTTTCTTCTTTTTTTCCATTACTAGTTAAATATGTTGTTCACGACGGAGGGTGAACTGATGAGGCAAATCAAGGCGAAAGTCGAAAGACTAATAGGCTAGGCTGACAAGCTTTCAAAGAAGAGGCACATGACACTTGAAAATTCCATATATCAGAAAAAGTAAGGTACTATATAAGACAAACTATGTTCATATGACATGCACGCTTTTAGACTCGATGCAGTGTTTAAGAAAGGGAAATCCATGAAATTTATCGAGGCCAAAGTAGACAATACATGTTATGGATGGAATTTGGATCGTGACAACATTGTTTGGGTGTTTTTGGATCTTCTGGGAAAGGAAGCAGCTACGTATACTCATTTCTCCATACCCCACTTCCCTTAATGACTGTGTGAAAATTTATTTTGAATTCATGACTTGTTGTGTGTCCAACTAAGACAATATTTAATATGCACATGAGAAACGAAACTTCAATATCCAAAGTAGTCCCAACAGTATCATTAAAGTTGAGTTGTGCTTGCATAATTGGTCCGCTTCTTAGGAATTTAATTTGAAGTATGAAACCTAATTTTATCGCGCAATTTATGCTCCTTAAAGTGTTTTCACTATTATGGCTATAACCAAAGACGGACCCAGGATTTGAGCGCGACGGGGGCACCATTGTATGCTAATCACCAGCGATAAAATTCTAAAGAAGAAAATAAAATACCGAATATATATATATATATATATATAAGAGAAACAGAGATTTCTTCGCAAAATGGGTGTATGGGAAGAGAATGAATAAAATTAATTAAGTTGACTATTGTGTATTAGTATAAATAAAAAAAATAAAAAAAGAAGATAAAAGTAAAAAAATAATAATTTGCTATTAAATATAAATTATATTGTAATCAAAGAACTAAAATATTAATAAAGTTAACTATTATATATTAGTACTAAATTATAATTGAATTAAAAAAAGAGATAAAAGTAAAAGATAAAGCAATTTGCTATTAAATATAAATTATATTGTACACAAAGAATAAAAATAGAAAGGAGGGGAAAAAAGTTAAAGGGCCAAAGGGGGTTTCGAACATACGTCCCCAGCAAAGTTGGGAATTTAAGGCCACAAATNCCTCTGGCTATAACCTCATCGGTAACGATTACATGTATTGACTTCCTATTTAATCTGCTCAGAAGGAATAATCTAACTAACCCATTCAGTGGGTGACACGTGACAATCTTCTAGAGACTACCATTATTTATCAGCTAACATATCTAATGTAATATCTAAATATTGGGCTGACTCTCTTAACTACTGATGGCCCATACTGACTACCTTGGTAGCCCAACTATCCTAAGCCCAAGTTGCCTCATTGTTCTATATATTCCATCCCCCTTAAGAACCCACTCCCCTGTCCTCTGCCATTTATGGATCAAAATTGGGAAATTGAGATTTCAGAAATGAATAATCTTCCCAGGTGGCTTCTTCAGGCGACAAATTAGTCCACTGTACCAGGACTTGGGTGGCTGCACGATTTCCTTTCTTGACCATTCTTCTATCCAAAATGGATAGTGGCTCCATGCGGATTTGACCCTCTTCAGTACAAAATAGGGGATCTTGAGCTACAAAAGTTTTGTCACCCACCTTCTTCTTTAGCTGAGATACATGGAATATTGGGTGAATTTTGGAGTTTTGAGGGAGTTTGAGCTCATAAGCAACCTTGCCCATTTTGCGCACAATCTGATAGGGACCATAAAACTTGGCTAACAACTTCAAATTCTTCCACACCGCTACTGAGGATTGGCGGTAAGGTTGCAACTTCAAAAATACCCATTCCCTCGCTTCAAAGGTCCTCTCACTTCTTCTAGAATCTGCATAAAGCTTCATTCGATTCTGAGCCTTGGATAGGTTGTCTTGTAGTATGCGATTCAGTAGTTGCCTTTCCTTCAAGGCCTGATCCACTGAGTTAAGTTTGCTCTGGGCAACTAACTCAAAACTGGGTAGGGGTGGATCATAGCCGTACAGGGCCTTAAAAGGAGTCATGCCGATGGCTGATTGAAAATTGGAGTTGTACCAAAATTTTGCTTGAGGTAAGCATTTGCTCCACTCTGATGGTTTGTGTTCGGTCATGCAACGGAGATAGGTTTCCAAGCATCTATTGAGTCTCTCCGGTTGGCCATTCGTTTGTGGGTGATAAGCCGAGCTTGGCTTCAATTGCACTTGTAGTCCTTTAAATAGTTCCCGCTAGAAATTGCTCATGAAGATAGGATCTCTATCTGGCACAATTGAGCAGGGAATGCCAAGTAATTTGCATACGTTATTGAGAAACAGCTGGGCGAGTTGAGGGGAAGTATAGGGGTGGGTAAGGGCGAAGAAATGGGTATACTTAGAGTATCGATCGATGACCACCAAGATTGAGTCTTTGCCATGTGATTTGGGCAGACCACACTTTCATCCTTGTTTCGTTGACAAACCTCACAATTTCTGACCAATTCTTTGACATCTTGCACCAACTTAGTCCAACAGAAGATAGTTTTAATCCTTTAGTAAATGCCATTTGCGGCTGAATGGCCTCCCCAAGACGATGTATGAAACTCAGAAACTAGCTTGTGCCTGAGTTGAGAATTGCTCCCTACCCAAATCCTCCCTTGGTGGCATAGTATTCCCTGTTGCAATGTGACTTCCAAGTTTCCAGTAGGTTGAATGCTCAAATGTGCAATGAGTGCTTGAACTTCTGTATCATTTTCATAGCTTTCAAGCACTTCAGCTACCCATCTTGGTTGTACTACTGTAATGCCAAAACATTCTGCTCCTTCAGTTTGCCTGGACAAAACATCAGCAGCAACGTTTTCCACACCCTTTCGAAAATGAATTTCATAACTAAGGCCAAGTAGCTTAGTTACCCCCTTGTGTTGAAGTGAAGTAGTGATCCTCTAGTACTTTAGGAAATTCAAGCTAAAGTGATCCGTCTTGATGATGAAGTGATTTGGGTGCAAATAGTGATGCCATTTATCCACAGCATGTAGCAATGCTATCAATTCCTTCTCATAAGTTGACAACCCAAGGTGTCTTTGACTTAAGGCTTGGCTGAGATAGGCAATTGGACGCCCATTCTGCACCAAAACTGCCCCGATTCCTTTGCCACTAGCGTCCACTTCTACCACAAATGGGATAGAGAAGTTTGGTAGTGCCAAAACTGGTGCTCGAACCATGGCTTGCTTGAGTTCTTCAAAAGCCTGTGTGGCTTCTAAGGTCCATATGAAGTTCCCTTTCTTAAGTAGATCAGATAAGGGTTTGCTAATAATAGCAAAAAAAATTAATGAACCTACGGTAGTAACCTGTTAAGCCCAACAATCCCCTCAGCTCCTTGATCGATTTTGGTTGGGACCAATTTAGCATAGCAGATATTTTGCCCTCATCAGTACTTATCCCATGGCCTGAAATTATGTGGCCCAAATACTCAATTTTAGGTTGAGCAAATGTGCACTTTGATCTTTTTGCAAACAACTGATGACTTGCCAATAGTTCAAAAACCACCTGTAAGTGAGTGACATGTTCAGGAAGGTTGGCACTATAGACTAAGATGTCGTCGAAGAAAACCAACATGAACTTCCTTAAATACGGCCCAAAAATCGTGTGCATCAAAGCTTGGAAAGTGGCCAGAGCGTTGGTGAGTCCAAATGGCATAACTCTGAACTCCCAAAGCCCATGGTGTATCTTGAAGGCCGTCTTAGGTTCATCTCCTTCCTTCATCATAATTTGGTGGTAACCCGAACGAAGATCCAATTTAGAGAAAAAATGTGCTCCACAAAGTTCATCTAACAAGTCCTGGTATTGGATACTTGTTTTTAATTATGATGTCATTTAATCGTCTATAGTCTATGCATAACCTCCAACTAGCATCTTTCTTCTTAACTAGTAAAACTGGTGAAGCATATGAAGAAACACTGGTTGTCACAGTTTGTGCTTGAAGCATTTCTGAGATAATTTCCTCGATGGCATTCTTTTGTTCAAATGAGTAGCGATGGGGCCTCAAATTGACAGGTTTAGAGCCTGGCAACAACTCTCTGGCATGGTCACATTCCCGCTTAGGAGGAAGGCCCTTAGGCTCTTGGAATATTAAATCAAAACGGTCCAACAGTGCGTGTATCTGTTCCGGAATTTGTTCTTGGGCCTGGGCTGCCTTTGCACTTACCATCATTAATTGGGCCAAATAACTACATTGACCCTTTTATACCACACGACCCAAGCTCCATTCATTGATTGTTGTTACAGGGTCAGATTCCACTTGTGGCAATGTAATTAGTTTTCCTCCTTGTAGAAAGAAATTCCCAATGGTCGAGTGGATAATAAGATTGGTGTAACAGTGTCAATCCAATCCATTCCAAGAACAATGTCACATCCGCCAACCTTGAGCAGCCTCAAAATCAAACACAAATGCCTCATCTTGCATAGTCCAAGTGAATTGATTAGTCACCTGAATATAAGGAACACGCTGGCCATTGGCAACCTTAACCATCATCAGCCTTCGCAAATAAGTTAGTGGGGCAGCACAAGCCTTTACCATTTGAGGGTCCACAAAGCTGTGGGTGGACCCACAATCAATGAGAATCAGTAGTTTTTGTTTCTTGGCCCATCCTACCAATTTAATTGTAGATGGGGCTTGTTGTGGCCCAAGAGAACATTAATGGACACTTCTACTTCTTGGGCCTCGATTTCCCCTTCCATTTCTGGTTCAGGTATCTTGTCCTCCGAATCACAAAATTCTTCTCCCTCCATTGCGTTAAGTGGCTTGGGCTTGCATATGTGGCCCGGAAAAAACTTATCATGACATTTAAAACAAAGGTTTTGTTCCCTCATTTGTTCAATGGTTAAATTCCGCTTGGTGGGCTGTTTAGTGGTGGTTGTTGTAGGTGGGCTTTTGGGTAGGGGTAGGCAGGGCAAGGCGGGCT